TTTAGGGGTTTCAACCCCTTTTTTCTCGAAAACGTGACGTGATGGGACATTTTTGACCCCGGATTCGTGTTCAGCACGAAAAATCCGTTCAGAAACACCAGGTCCCGTCTTATTCGCAGAAAAAAAGTTGAAATTTGTAGACCAGTGTTATAAGTGCATAGATATGCCAGCTATTGAACCCTTTGCAAGCTGAGTAGATGGGACTTGGTGTTAACGCTCTCCAAAGCCTCGTGGCTGTTTTTTGTTTATTAAAGGAATTCAGATTATATAAAGTATAGTATATCAGCTCGGAAACATTTCAAGTGTGTGTCTGTATGTGTGTATTTTTGTAAGCATGTGTATCAAAGTTGTTGATTTATCGAAATCATTACATTGCGCTTTACCTTTGCTGCTTGCGAGATTACTGTATGAAATTGGTGTACTGTCTAATCTTCCAATACGCTCGCTATTCAACATACGATTGCTTAAATATTCTACATTCGATTGTAAGCTTGATATTTCCACTCTACATAAGTAGATACATTTGTATGAAGTAAAGCATATTCCACGTAGAAGAGGAATGAGAGCAGGTTTTAAGGAGAGTAAGTAAGGAAAAATACGTAGAGAGAAAGAAGAAGAGTGAGAGAGAGAGAGAGAAACATAAAAGAAAAAGAAGAAAGCAAACGATTAGTCTATTTCAAATGTTCCATAGCAATTACCTTGTCTAAACTATAAGTACGCGCAGAAAAATGCTCTTCCCCTGTCGACTCGGCTGTATCACTTGCAGACCGCTGACGTCCATTTGGACGTGTCCAACTCAGCTGTTTTCTTGATTTTTCACGCTCCATATGCAATTCCTTATAGCTGGCCCATATTTGCTTTAGCCGATCCATAAGTTTTTCATTCGTTTCGCGTAGTTGCTGACGTTCTTCGCTACAGTTACAAGAAAAAAAGAGTTAAATAAAATTTTATATAAGTAGATGAGTGCGGGAATCTTTCGCGCGGCTTTAGGCAGGAAGAGCATTTTTCCTACACCGTTCATTAAGGCGCTACAAGTTGTTTTTTTTCATGAGCTATGTATGTATGTACATATGTAGTAGTTGGATAAGTGTTGCTTAAGGTAAAATTTTGCTGAAAATAATTGTAAATATATTAACCCGCAAGTTAAGAGAGCAATCGAAATTATTGTTCCAAGTTGGCATTTTCGAGTTCGTCCACTACCAGCTCATCTAAAGGCAAGTCGGGTATATCTATGGCGGGTGGTAGGTCTTGCGCTCCATAAACTTCTTCCCGCTCGCGCTCATTGGGCTTGGCATCTGTTATTGCAGGCTCTGTTAATTGTACTTTGACTTCGCGTGGCGCTGCTGTGTCTTTTTCTACTTTCTCCTTATGCTCTCTACCCGGCTTGGGCACCAGTCGCACATTTACGTCTACTTTGACAGGTGGTCGTGGCTTTTTCTTTGCCACTACACATTCGTGTGGTGTTACGCACTCGCGGGACGCACTACCACCCACCCTCTTAACCGCACAGCATTTATCGCGACGCAGTAGCTCTTCAAAATAGGTGCGTGGTTTGTAACTCGGTTGCGTTAGGCGCGTAGCTGCTTCCTCTCGACTCGCGGTTGACTTAGTCGCTGATTTGCTTGCTTCTGGCATTTTTGCCTTGCTTTCAGTTGGCGCCGTCAAGTGCTCGCCTTGACTTGGGCTCTGACATGCATGGCAGTAATCTACGGACTGGCGTTCGAGTCCACTAAAAGTTTGATTCAAAACTAGATGCTGTTGCAGCCAAGGCAACGGCTCTGTTTTGCAGTGTACATGTGGATAGCAAGCCGATGGTTGCAATGTCGTTGAAGAACAGGCTGCGGCGGGCGCAAGCGGATTACAGGACGTGCAGAGCTTCGGTGCGGCAGTCGATTTATCGTAATGCATGAAATGAGTGCCGCAATGTGGCGGTGGTATAGCTGTTGTGTTGAGCGCTTCCCTCGCAGGTGTGGAGTATGTAACGGAAGTCGTAGGATGACTACCACATAGGGACGCATCTGCGATAGAGCTCGTTTCCGCTGTCAGCGTGCCACTTGCCGCCTGTCCTTTTAACCTACTCTGTGTTTTACAAGTTGCTGTGGGTGTAGTGATTGTGGCAACGGCGTGCGCATCCCATGTATAGTTGTGACAACTGCTACAAAAACTATGTGCAAATGCTGCTTTTTTTGTTGTGACAGCTGTGACAGCTGTGCTGGTTTTTGTGGCCGTTGTTGTGTCTACATTTGTGCCAGTGTTCGCGCCCAACGTGTACGCAGTGTCAGAGAAATATTTACTATCGGTGCATTGTGTTTGCTTCCCTGTGGGCGCTCTACTAATATTGCTTTCCCCATTGTTTGCACTACAACAACATGTGCACGCTATCGGCTCAAAATGTGTACAACTTGCTAAGTGTTTCATGTCTGTACTACAACTACCATGAGTGCCGTAGAGTTCACGCCATTCGGCGGCGTTCGTCGTCTTGGTCGCGCCGCGACCACCACCTTCATCGCTGGCGCTGCGTCGCAGAAAAGCCGATGGTGTACGTCGCAAATGTGCACAACGTTGCTGGCGTCGATGCACCGACAGTGGCAACGTAGGAAGTGGTGGCATTTTGGCTAGTTCGCGTTCGAGTCGCTCGTTGCTTTTCGTAATATTCGCTAGGATATCCTCGTCACTTCCGTAGCCGTGGCGACGACGCATCTGTGATAGCTTTGGTGCTGGTGAGCGTGATCTATGTGTGTCTACTGCTTCCAAATCTTTTTCGACAGCACTCTTAGGCGGCAAAACGTACTCGTTTCCGCTTGTGGCCGCTAGCGAAGTTGCTAGCGGTATTTTTGGCTTGGTGCCCGTTAATGAACTGCTTGTGGTAGGTGGTGTTGGTGCTGGTGCTGAGGCCTGTTTCGTTGTAGCTTCGCTGACAATTTCTTTTGTTTTTGTAGTCGTTTTCATTGCCGGCGTCTGTGAGCAGGTGGTTGTCAAATGTGTTGGCACAGACCAAGCGACGCCGCTGGTTGTAGTTGTTGTTGTTGCTACATAGGGAGTTGGCGTTGTCGTGCGCGTCCTGGGTGCGTGTGTCGCAGACGGCGTTGTTGCCCACACTGTAGGCGGTTTGCATGGCACTTGCCTTGTGGTTGTTGGCTTTGACGTGGTCGGTTGGAGTTTTGTGGTTGTAATACTGTCTATCGGCATTGTTGTTGCTGTTGTTCTTGTGTTTGCTACTACGAATTTTGAGAAGTTCATTTAATGGACGTTCATTGAGTGCGTGCATTGTTAAGTTTTACAGTAATCAATTAAATTGCGTTCAACATTTATTTATTTGTTGATTTGCGTAAATATTTTACGTATGCATGTATGTATATGTGGTGGCATGTTGTTGCATGTCAAATTTTTTGCAATATATTTCAGTGTTTGCAGTATTCATTATGATTTTTTTTTTGTATTTTTATTGAATTGACGGTGATTTTTGTTGTTGTTATATTCATCAGTGTAATCGTTTTTCGTTTTCGAGCAAGCGGCAGCAGTAAA